GAAAAAATCAACTTAGGACAAAACTTGTTAAAAGAGACAATAAAGGATATTTTATAATGAAAAATGTATCAATCCATCATAAAAACATGCAATCATAAACATATAGGTATATAAAAAGAAAGTGCCAGTAGATATCAATTCAGAAAAAAAAAAAAGAATTAAAGAGAGAAATAGACAACTCAGCCTAATAACTGGAAACAAATAATTCATTTTTAAACTGGATCTAACAACAACATAGAGATAAAGAAATAGAGGACTTGAACAATACTATAATCCAACTAGTCCTAACAGACAACTACGGAATATTCCACCTAAAATAAGACAATACACATTCTTCTCAAATCCAAATAAAACATTATCCAGTATAGACCACATGTTAGGCTATTAGACAAGCCCAAATCCATTTAAAATAATTAAATTCATACAAAGTACGTATCCCGAAACAATGAAATGAAATTACAAATCAAGAAGAAAAGGAAATTCACAAATCTGTGGAAACTAAACAACATAGTCCTAAATTACCAGTTAATCAAATAAGAAATCAGAAAGGAAAATATATTGGGAAAACAGAAAATACATTGAAATGAATGAAAACAAATAAACAACAAAAAACAACATGATAAAACTAATGGTATATGACTAAAGCAGTATGTAGAGTGAAATTTATAGCAGTAAAAAAAACCACAAACTTGAATTAGTGATATGACTAATCACCTTAATATGCTAGGGAAAAAAAAAAAAGAATAAAAGAACTCAACCCAAAGCAAACAGAAGAAGGTAGATTAACAAAATAAAATAGAGAATAGAAAAACAAGAGAAAATATCAACAAAAGCAAGACTTTTCTTTGAAAGGATCAACAAAATTGACAAAACTGTAGCCACAATGAACAAGAAAAAGAGAGAAGACTCAAATTACTAATTTCCAGGAATGAAGAGGGGTTATCAATACTGACCTTATAGAAATAAAAACAATTATAAGGGAGTCAGTTGCATGCCAACAAATTGGATAACCTAGATGAGAAGAACAAACTTCTAAAAGGACACAGAAAATCAAAACTGACAATGGAAAAACTAGAAAATATGAAAAGAGCTATAACAAGTAGAGGGATTGAATTAGTAATAATTTTCCCAAACGTTTAAAAAAGAATTGATAACAATTCTTCACAAATGCTTCCAAAAATTGTAAATAGTGGGAATTATTCATAACTCATTCTATGAGGCCAGTATAACCTTATACCAAAATCAGAAAAAAAAGATATTACTAGAGAGAGAGACAAAAAAAGTTCAGGCCAATATCCCTTAAATATACATGCACACACACACACACCCCTCAAAAACAAGCAAACCAAATTGATCAACATATAAAAAGGATCATATACTGTGACCAAATGGCCCTTATTCCAGGAACCAAAATTAGTTTAATATGTAAAAATCAATCAATATGATATACCATGTAATAGAATAAAACATTACATAATAATTTCAATGGATAAAGAAAAAGCATTTGGAAGTTCCAACACTCTTTCATGATAAAAATTCTCACTGGGAATCAAAGGAAAGGTCCATTTTGCAGTAAAGAGCATGCACAAAAATGCCACAGTTTGAGCGCCAAAAGATGAAAACATCCCTCCTAAGGTGAGAAACAAGACAAAGACGTATGTTCTACCTCTTCTATTTAACATTGTGCAGGAGGTTCTAGCCAGGCCAACTGGGCAAGGAAAAGAA